GATCACGAGATCTATCCCCTCTTTTCCTCGACAAAAGTTCGAGAGAAACAACGATTCGAGCACGTGCCAACTTTTTCGCGAAATGCAATTTAAACGATAGCCTTATCTGCGATATCCTTCCGTTTGAATTATCGCTTTCATTATGATCTAACGGCGCGGATAGAAATAAAAAAGAGAGAGAGAGAGAGAAAGAGAAATTTCGAAAAACAAGCGGTAAATCTATTTCCAGACAATTGAGGCTCGATTGCCTGTACTCGCGAGGTTAGTGGCTCGCGTGTATCTAATGGTCAAGAAAGTTTCCACGCAGGAAAAATAGCAGACCCGGGGTGGTCTGCTCGCACGAGTCTTGGGTAGAAGAAAAATCAGATAACGCCCACGCGCTCTACATGAATCGGCCGATACGGACGACATTATGAATCACGCGAGAAAAAATTGCGTCACGAACCGCGCCGCTTTAACGTCTACGGATAATAATTTAATACCGTTCCGATCAATTTCCCCCACTCCCAAGTCGATAATCGAACTTGGAAAGGGTATCGATGCGCGTTCCACGTCGACGAGAAATTAAATAAAGACAAAGGTAGAAAAATTGAATACGCTCGTGTATCTCCATCATGAATTGCATTAACATCGCATCGATTGCAAAAAGATAAAAGAAAAAAGGATATGCCGACTCGAAACGAAGGAAATCAATTCAATGATATTAATAACGATAAGAAAAGAAATTTGTTTCATTTTAGAAAGTGGTATAGTGGCTCGGTCGAGTGATATTTAGACGACGCGGAGGACCAGTCTCTCTCTCTCTCTCTAGCTACTCGTCTTTCATAACAGATTCAGTCGTTACACTCTCCGCTTATTTAACATTAGGTGGCCCCCTTGGTAAATTATAGCCAAGCCCATGGTAACTTGTCGAGCGACGGTTTTATTGCCAGCCACTTTACGATCCCGTAAAATAATTCATAGCGTATTAAATCCGCATGTAAATATTGTAAACAGAGGGCGCCAACTTATGAGCATCCTTGTCCTTTTCCCAATTGATCCCTTCCTATTCCCAGATTCGAGAATACGAGTTAATAACCTCCCCCCACGAAGACGACGATAAAAATGATAGTAGATTGCTCGAGACGAGAGCGGCACTCGTGTTGCCTTGCCAGACTTGCACGATTTTTGCAAAAGAGGCACACATTTCCCGAAAGCGGCAGTTGAAACGTTGAAACATTGAAGAGAGGCAAACAATTTTTGCTCTCTTCCAACGTTTCTTATCTCCCGGCGATTTCTCTTTTGTCTCCTCGCGACTACGCGTTTTCTTCCACTCTCTCCCCCCTGAGGAAAAACCAGCCCCTTCTTCCCTCCCTCCCGAAGGATCGGCGCGTTGTGCCAACGTTTCCAACCGACCAACCGTTATCCAAACTTCTATCCCATGGAGAGACACCGTAAATCTTGGTAGAGAAGAAATCCCGTGGGATGCGGCGAGACAAACGACGTATTATAGGGAACCGTTTAATCCTGGCCGAATTTATAATCCAATCTCAATACGTTTACACGAACAAATTCTACTAGCGATCCACGCTCGAATCTACGCGATTCGAATCGACAAGTAAGGAGAACACAAGTAAGAAATTTCGACGAAGCGGCGAGTGGGGGGAAGAGTGGTCTGCAGACGTTGGTCACCGCGAACGGAAAACGGAGACGTTCTCTTAAAAAGGGAAACCGCAAGAAGAGGCAAACAAGCGTCATCGGGATCCTTGTTATTTTTCTCGGTACAAAGGAGGCGTTTCTCGCGACCGGTTCTCTCGTTCCACAATGGCGCTTCGACGCAACTAGATTGGAACTCGATTCGAAACGAACCCGTCTGCCTCCTCCTCGCACCGGAGCAAATATCACCAGTGGCCAGTAGAAAAACCGATGCGTCACGCGATGCTCGTCAACAAGTTGGAAATTGGTATCGCCGTCAGTCAGTCAGTCAGTCGGGTAGGCAGGTAGGTAGATAGGCTGCCTCCTCCTCGTCTTTTAAACGGGACACGAAACGGGGTTTCGATCGGCGTGTTTCGTGTCGGGCCCGTTGATCCAGGGGAGTGCCATTTTTCTCGCCCATCACTCCCTACGAATCTATAAATAAACCCGATAAAAGTAAGCCTCCTTAACGCGAAGAAGATTTTTATTCACGCGGTGGACGTCGCGTGCCCGCCGGTTAACGACTGTTGCATTTACGTCGCCGCTTACGTGGAACGACCCCCTTTTTCTTTCTCTTACCGAGAAAATCGATCGGGGAGAAGAATTTCGCGCGAACTCTTTTCGCTAACTTTTCGCGATTCGATCTAAAAATAAGAAACCCCGTAAGAAACAACGGTCGCTGTTGGATTATCGATCGCAATTAAGCGGAATGATGCGAGTTACGCGGAGAGAAACGTTCCAACGTGCACGATCGATCGAAGGGAAAGGTATAAAAAAAAAAAAAGGAAGGAAAA